CTCTGAGGTTCAGTGCAATCATAGATGTTGTTCTGCATACTTTGGTTGTAACAAGCCGCTATTTTTATCCACCAAATCAACACTTGCACTCGCACGTGAAAATGGCTGCAAACAGATGCACAATTACACAACCGTACATCTTTGAAAAGCAGAAGTAGAGCCTCCTGCACAACCAACCAGAATACAGTGAGTGGTTCCTTTATGGTAAATCAACAACAAAACACTTGCCTTTTCCAGTAGCCATTGTACTGCGAATACGGAGTTAAAACCAAATGTGCTTGAGTTCTGCTTTGGTTGCTATGTAACAGCACAATGGCTGCTGATTTGTTACACTCTAAAATCTTTTTTAATTTTCCAGACACCAGAAAACATTTATTTGTTCCAAAAAACGGGCTGATTTTTTTTGGGGGGGGGGGTTTAATGCTTGGACTGTCCTTAGAATCAATTGAGACACAAATGGAAGTACAGAAATTGTGTAAAATGTGAATTTTGCATAATAGGTCCCCTTTAATTTAAAACATGCCACATTAAAGGTCACCTCAATCTGATTTATTTATTTAAGAAGTCATGTGCTTCTTAAAATAAATGTAATTCCCATCAGTTCCCTCTTCAGTACCTTCACTTCCTGACAGGACGATGCTCGTCTCTGAGTAATTATGTGCAAGTGAAAGCTCTTAATGACGGGTTACCATGGCAGTGTTTTAGCATGCTCTCATTAGGGACTAAAGACCCGATTCAGTTTCTCAACACTCATGAAAAGGCTGCAGAAGCTGAGGTCATCCTATTTGTTCCTGGTTTCATTCTGCCTGTGTTGTATTTGCCGCTTGCCTGACCTTGCTTATTATTATTATACATTTGTGTTTCCAGTCCCTCAGATGTGGGCTGCTAATACTGATTCAGGTGGTTGTTGCACACACACACACGCACACACACACACACAGATGCAGGTTAATGAAAAAAAGCAAAGTTCACACAGAAGCACATTGTGTTGTTTTGATGGTTTTTATGCTCAAATAAAACTGAAGAGCTTCTTTATTGTAGAAAATAATACAACACGGCAACAACGGGAAGCAAAGAAAGATGCTTCTATAAGACTCTTCAGTGAAAAGAAAATGATCTGTTAGGTGAATGATGTGGGCAGGTTTTCTCGAGAGGCTTTAAATGGACATAAAGCAACTTTTCAGCCTGTAAACACCTGGAAAAAAATGGAGACAAATGCAAAGCAATCTGTATTATATTAAACATGAGGCGGTGGAACTGCCTGCTTAGACTTGTTACATGACTGTTGCTCATTAAACTCCACATTTATATTCATTGCCTTCAGATGCCGGTGTGTCTTGTGGGCTGTTAACTTACTCACGCGGCGTCCGGGCGGACAGATGGCGTTGGAAATATGAGCTAAGATGGCTTCTTCGTCTCCGTCGACAGGTGACGGCACGTCAGTGTGAGGGCGTGCAGCTGTCGCCTGTCCTCGCCGCGCTCGTTTTTGCAAGTCTGTGCGATAACTGTGAGGATGCTCTGCGACACGTAGGTGTGAATGAGGGTGGGATTTTTATCGCCGGCCTTCGTGTTCCCACACATTAGTGGAGCGGGGCTTGAGAGGAGACGTTCGGCGGCTACCGGGTTTGTGTTTGGGAGGAAAAAACAGGAAGTCGGCCGCTCGATTTAATCCGTATGCAACGCGAGGAAGGAGGAAGCATTAGCAAGCACTGTCACACCCCTGCACAGCCACAGCATCATCAATGGTGCAGGATATATATCGGTGTCCTGTAACCTTCACCTTGTATGGATTATAGTTACTTTAGAAATGATTTTCTGCCTCTGAAGTCTTTTAACCTCAAACCTGGAGAACCTGTAGGCTCATTTTCATTTTATAACCCATAGCACTCAAAAAAAGGACAGTGTGTGTACAGGCCTGTCGCAATAAATCAATTCATCGCATGATGAATTAAAATGAGCTTCTGATAATTTCTCTTTCTACCAAAAGCTGGATGATAAAAGTTTTCAGTCTGGTGCTTTGGTTTTAAAAGGACAATTTTGTCCAGAGACTTTATAATTAATTTTATTTGTTGTTTTGGTTATTCGTGTTTGGATATTTAAAATGTCTTCCTGTGTTAGATGTTGAGTAGAACTTAAAGTTTACTGAACTTTGAGAATGTGTTCTTGCATTACCGTTATGTTACTTCAAAATGGTCTAAAAGCAACAATACTATTGTTTACCACAATAACTTCTGGGACAATTTATCATCCGGTAAAAATTATCATCATGACAGATCTAAGTGTATAGCAAAAGACTTGAACGCAAACTCAAGAACCTATTTTAAGTTTTTTTTTTATTAAAATAGTGCATAAATTAGATTATTTTATGTAATTTATGGTTATGATGAAAGCACTGCTAATTCCTATTGTAATGCCAATATTCTTATTTGAGCTTTTTGGAAGTCTTAAAATATTCAAAAACCCATCAAACTTTACCAGGAATTGTCCTCTGTACGAAATTTTGTGATTTCAATGGAACCAAAAGTAGGCGTGGCCAAACACAGAGCCTCCTAAACTGAGTGTCCAAACCACACATTGTAGAGATTTGAAACTTGCTATGTTGGTAGATCCCCATCAAAGCAAGGGGAAACGTACAGGGAGCCGGATATTTTTGCCATTTCTCAGGTTTACAGACCTTAAACTTTAGCACAAAATCCCCACGAAGTGTTTATCAACTTCATCTTTGGTCAGTGTGCAGTTGGGGGAAGGTGGATTAAAAGTTATCAACATGTTGAGTTTTTGAGCATGGGGCGTGGCCAAGTGGCAAACTTGCAAATGCATTTCCCTTAATATGATTGGTTGATGATGTTGGCTTCTTGATTTCTGATGTTTGGTTTGATGAACATATCAGTCACCCAATCTGACCAATGGACTTGTAGCAAACTGGCACTTATTTTGTCCTAAAAACACTTATTTGATGGAATAACGATCTATAGTGAGATATAAGTGGAAAGAAAGAAAACACGATGAATTTCAAATGGCACACATGGTCCCAATTGTGCCAAAATGGCTAATTTGGAAGCTTTTATCAACTAATACCTTTTTTTTTATTATTTTTGCATGTATTTTGGTGCAGTAAATGGTCAGATCCTGCTGCATACGTCAAACACATTTTTAAGGTGAAAATGTATCTCTTTTTTTTCAGTTTTATGTTGTGTGCTTTGTTAATTTACTTTCACTCGTTAACTTTTAAGCTTTTGGGGTATTTTCTGGAGTCTTACCCACAGCAGTACAAATACACCTTGCAGTTCCTAGATTTATTTGTACTGACGTGTCATTTTTGGACAAATTCCTGAAGAGGTTCCCCAAACGAGTGAAGATCATTTCCGTAAACGCACAGAAAAAAACTGTTTTTACCGAAAACAGTGTGACTTTAACGTCAGCGCAGGAGATAAGCGGGGCCCTATGAGTGAATAAGTCTTCACAATGGGACTATCTGTGGTCAGAAAACGCTGAGTCAGTTGTATCAGTGTCAGTCTCTGGTCACATCTGCAGTACAGTGTGATGCTGTTATCTAAAACACAGATAATTTGACAAGAGTTCAGAAAAAACAGGAAGACTCTGACACAGATAAAAAGAACAAAACTGGGATTTCCACTAAACCATCCATCTAATATAATGGTTTCCACAAATACCTGTCAAAACATGGAAAAGCAGCATGAACTCGCAGACTGATGCACAGATACACTCGGTTTCTCCACTTCTGTCTCGGTTTATCACACGGAGACGGAGCCAGCTGTGTGGCGGAAGCAGGTGTCACTCTCAGCTCATTACCCCTGGCAGGGTTGATCACCCTGTTTGCAGAGCAATAAGACACACCTCGCTGGAGAAATGGAGGGATCAGGGAGCTGCAGGAGGGACAGAGGGCTGGAGGAAGTGAAAAGATGTTGAGTAGGAGGAAAATTAGCTGGCAAAGTGGCTGAAGAAAGCAAAAAGTAGAAACGGGATGTTAAGTGAAAATGGGATTAAAACAACCAACAAAATATTATTTTTTTCCCTTTTTTAACTGCCTTTTAAAGTCTAAGTACAAATGTGCCATTAATCAAACAACCAAGTTTATTTCTATATCACATTCAGCAACAAGGCAGTTTAAAGTGCTTTACGTCATAAAATCAGAAGAATAAGAAGTCATAGATCATACAGTCACCAGTGGAGAAACCGGTAACAAACATTACATCAAATATGTTGGTCAATGTTCCATTTACTATGGTTCAGACTCTAAACAGATTTTAGCCTTGATTTAAATGAAATCAGTGTTTCAGCAGGTTTACATTTTTAATCTGGACCTAATATCCCTTTAATTTTTAATTCTTCAGTGTTACAATTACCATTATTAGTAGATTATTATTGTTATTTTACTATCATTATTATCATATTTCATTTTACAAGTTTGTTGAAACGTTTGCTGGAGATGGGCACCAATACAAAGAAATGGATGGATAGATTGATTATTACTATTATAAATTATAATTATGGGTCAGTAAATTTGATGTGCTGTTATCTGATTGATATTTTTATTGATATTTTTGTACACAGAACAAAGATGTTTACATATATAATGATGACCCATAAACATCTTGTTCACTAAAACGCCTCCAAAAATAAACAATAATCAGAGAATAAATATTTACTAAAATAAATACAGGAATAAGTGAAATAAAATAATACAAATAAATTAAATGGCTTCTCCTGTTATGAGAGTCAGCTTGTAATCATTTATTATTTATTTGTTGGTTCTTTACTGCAGTAAGTCAAATGAATACCACAACATGTTTTCAGTTACATATTTCTGATAACGATCCATTTCATTAAATTCACTTCTTCTTCCTTCTTTTCAAACAGAAAAGTAGTGGTGAGCTTATTATCCCTGTGTGTTTCTCTGTTTTTAAAAACCTATTTGAAGTGAGTAAAGTAAAACCTGCTGCGTTGGTGAACTCAGATAGTTTGTGTCTATTTTGCAGATATGACTACAAGGAGATGCTCCACAACTCCACCTTCTGCTTGGTGCCCCGCGGCAGACGTCTGGGCTCCTTTCGGTTCCTCGAGGCGCTGCAGGTAAGAAACAGAGAGAAGCACCTTCCACTACTAGAAAGAATCATAACTACCGCTCTAACACAGATCAGTTAACTGTTTTATACTGTCTGGACATGGTGACGTTTTAAACATGTGAAAAACATATTTTTTAAGAAACAAGTTGCATTCTGCAGCTTTTACCAGGACAGTTCAGTCTGTACGCTGACCTGAGGAGCCTCACACCTTTCACTGCAGCACGCTGCAGGATTTTCAGGCTTTCTGGATCAGTTGCAACTCGTTACTGCTCTTATTTCTTAGTGGAGACAGATTTTTTTTCTTCCTCCAGCCTCACTTATCCCCCCATTCATCCATTTCTCCACTGCACTGTCCTTTACCTCTCCTTTCCAAACACTTCTGTCCACAGAGTGCGCCCTCAGAAGTGTGCTTATCTCACTATCAGCAGCCACACACACACACACACGCACACGCTGCACTTCACTCAAGAGTGAAATATGCCCTTTTCTCTCCTTCCTCCATTTGTCTGACTCAATGATCCATCAGTTTTGCACAGCCGTGTTGGAGATGAAGGGTGCAGAGTGTGGAGGCTTTTGAGCTTTGCTGCGGACGCCGCTCCGCTTTGAGGTCAGCGTCGTCTTTTTGGTTCACGTGCTGCTGCTGCCGCATCTGTGGAGCCCAGGGGCCGGCGCTGCTTCAGACGACACCTTTATGACCCGGGAGTGACAGGGCTGTCATTACATCAAACTACCAACACACACACACACACACACACCACCTGTTCCCTGCAGCTCTCCGCCCATCCTTCTATCCCTCTGCCAAAGGTCACATTCAGCCTCACTATCTCCCCACTTTTCGTCTGTTTTTAAGTCTGTGTATCCACTTTCCTTTTGGCTTTTGATCTTTTTATTTTTTGTATTCCCTTTTCTCCTCATCAGTCCTGCAGCTCACCGCCTCTGAGTAATAAACTCTCCCACTCCTGATGTTACCATTTCAAACTGAAGAAGAAGAAGAAAATAGCCGTACACCAAGGATGAACACTTGATATTAGGTTCAAAGAATTTAAACGCTCGGAGCGCGCTCCGCCTCATTGATTTTATTTTTTATTTATTTATTACTGTGCGGCTTGTGAAGGATTTAGAGATCTTTTATAAATTAAATAAACACACACCAACCAAGTAATTAAGATATTCTTTTTAAACATCTCAGAATTTGTGTGTGTTGCTGCTGTGGGATCAAATGTTGTATAATTTGATGTTTTTCCTCAACTTTATTTCTTCTGTTTTTGCTGCAGAATAATAAACCACGGCATATCAATAGATACATGTGTGCTCTCTGCGCCTATATATTGCTCCTGATCTGGATTGTACACACACCTTATCTTTATTTATCAGGTGTTGGTCAGAGCTCTTGTTCTATATTGTGTTTCTATGATCCCAGAATCTGTAACTTTTTCTTCAGGCCTGGATAATGATAAAAAATTTTTAAAATATTCGTATTTTCAGAGTTTATTTTTGTCTCGTCTAAAAGTTTATGCATCTGCTTATTCATCTGTTCATTCATACATCTGTTTACTGGCTGTTTACACACGTCTGTCCATTTATCCATTCATCCATCCATTTATCATCCATCTGTCAGTTTATCTATCTGCCATCCATCTCTCTCTTTCTTTCTCTCTCCATTTACCCATTCGTCTGTCCATCTCTTTTTCCATCCATCTAGTTTTCTGTCTGTCATCCATCCGTTTATTCATCCATATGTTCAAGGTTTCCCCCAAATAACTTCCTAAGCCTGGCGGTTGGGGTGCTTGCGCTGGTTTTTGAGTTAATGTTTAAAGTTGACTGGAAATTTGAAAATATATCTTGATAATTATTTATTATTGGAAGATTGATATCTGAAGACTAACCATAAAGTCTTAAAAAATGCAAACATAAAAAAAAAAAACTTAAATAAGTAATGCTTAGCCTGATGGTGGCACAAGTTAAGCCTGGTGGCCCGCCAGGCTACACTACGGGAAACTCTGTGCATTTATCCATTACTCTGTTTGTCTTTATTATTCATCCTTCATTCATTTCAATTTTGTTTTATTAAAATAATCTTAAAAATGTTTGAACTGTAGGAACCTTGAAGATGAGTTGTTTGAGAATGCCCAGCACTACCGGCTTAAACGGTTCAGCACTTAAATGGATCCATCCTGAAAATTAAAGGGACTTATTATGCAAAATTCCCACTTTGTGCATTTTTGCATTTCCATTTGGGTTTCTGTTGTTTCCAAAAGTAGTTAGTTATGTCTCAAATCAGCAGGCTGCCCCTGACCTACTAACCCCAGTTAAGCCCAGCCTGTTACCTAGCAACCCCAGCGGAACTCGGCCCATCACCTAGCAACCAAAACTGCTTTTGGTCAGCTGGTGTTTACAGGTTCCTGCTGGAAAAGACAAGTGTTTTGCGTTGACTGTCTGCAGCCATTTTCTTATCTGAGTGTAAACGTTGAGTTGGGGGGCGTGGCCAACAGCAGCTTTTTTTGGATTTAAAGTGACAAGACGCCCTGAAAGGAGCTCAAAAACCAGGATTCAGCAAACTAAAATTTCATTACCTAGGAATAATTTTGTGTAAAAAAATGTACTGAACATGTTTTGTGTAGCTTTGAACGTATCCTAACCTAAGGTCACCCGTACATTTCTCCCCCCATATTTCATATTTAGAAATTTCATAAAGATGGGCAAGGTTACTTTGCAGAAAACCACATTGATGCATCACAGATTAAAAAACATGGCTTCCCTCTTTGTGTGTCTCAGGCTGCATGTGTGCCAGTGATGCTGAGTAACGGATGGGAGCTTCCTTTTTCGGAAATCATCGACTGGAACACCGCTGCAGTCATCGGCGACGAGAGACTCCTCCTGCAGGTAACGGCTCACGTGCAGCTCTCGCACAAAATCGCCTCCTCTGTCCGTCACCTCCCAACGAATCAGCAGTCGAACCCAAACCCGGGCTGTCAGTCCGATCCGGGTTTGTTTCGCTTTAGGATGAGGGGGCCATCAATAAAGCAGAACTCCAGTGGCATACAAAGTCCCTCAAAACATCTCGCAGCGCCTCGGATTGTTATGAGAGGGCAAATAAACAGGCCAAGCCAATGAATTTGGTTGGAATTGCCTGGGCTTCATAGGGAGAAAAGTAATTATATGCCCATTAAATCTTAATTTGAATGAAGTACGTGATAATATTGTTTGGCATGAGGAACGCGGTGTGTGCAGCACCGAATGTGTTTAAGCCATCCTGGATTATTCTTCTAATGTTTGCTATGAATTAAGATATAATGGCTGCAGTGCATAGAACTATGTTTCTATTGTCATATTAAAGTACTTATGACTAATGACTCTGTGCTACTACTTAATGATAGAAACAGTAAAAACAGCATAACAGGCTTCTTTCAGAAGATCAAGTACTTATTCATAGCCTTTAAAATTAACTTTTGTTGTCTCATTCTTAAATAAAATACATTCCCATGTTTTCTTTTTTTAAATGATACTTAACTATTGATCATTATTGATGAGTTTTTTGTTTTAGATATCTAAAATACTGTCAAACTGGCACAGCTTTCACTCCATGCCGCTATTGTTTTACTTAAACCTTAAACCACTACTGTGCCAGTTGCTCAAAAGGTTGTTGCTAGGTAACCAAAGTGAGTTGCTAGGTAACCAAAGTGAGTTGCTAGGTAACCAAAGAGTGAGCGAGTCAGTTGATTCCACCAACCTTGTTTAGGAGCCACTTCTGCCTACATCCCCCAGAATGCTGTGCGGTTCAGGATTATAGGTCAGTAAATATTCTACTTATTGCAATGCAAAAACACAAAATCTTATCAAGTAATTTTGGTCCAGTTTCTAGTGCAAATATCTCAGTGAAGTTGAAATAAGACAAACTCACTTACAAGTAACTTTTTAGCAAGATATAGGAGCTTGTTTTAAGTAAATAATTTCTTTAATCTCGACGAAAATGTACTTGTTCCACTGGCAGATTTTCACTTGTAGCAAGACATTTTTCCCATGTTCTAAGTTAATTTATCTGCCAGCGGGACAAGAAGAAATTTAACATCAGTATTAAGGAATTATTTACTTAAAACAAGCCTATATATCTTGCTAAAAGTTACCTTTAAGTTAGTTTTGTCTTATTTTAAGTTTAATCAGACATTATTAAACAAACCAAAAATACTTGGTAAAATTTTGTGTTTTTGCAGTGTGAATATTCTCCAAGACATCCTACCTATTTACATTGATAACATATCAATCACAATATATATTATGATTGATTTATTGTCAGTTTTATTCATAAACCAAAATAAAAACTCTCCAAGGATCTTTTGAAGATCCTGCTTGGATATTTCCCAGCTAAAGGTGAAGTCTGACATTTTGGTAAATACCCCATTAGTTTTCTTGCTGAGACCTGGATGTGAAATGAGAGTTGGTGCTCAGCAGGCTTGATCCTGCCATCTCGCTCTCAGCTAAAAAGCAAATTAAAGTATCTCGCAAAATGCCAAAGCCTTCCTAGAGTTACAGAAATGAAGGCTTGACTCTTGACCTGAGCTGAATCCTGAGTGACAGGACTTGACCTGCTGCTTCAAGCATCAACATGTCAAGTGTTGCTCAAAGGTAGAAATAGCAGATTCATGAAAATACATTACTTAAACATAGCTTAAATATTCCTTTGCCACATCTGAAGTTGAACTTTCTTCAACTTTTGTTACATTTACAGGTTTTTAAAGTCACAAAAAGAGGGGAAACGATAGGAAAACCTTAAATACAGGCTTAATCTTCCTGACACAAATGCCTTGTTTTCACTAAGCGGTGCAACACGGGTCCATTTTACAAGTTACAAGATACATAGGGGGTCACATGTGTCGTTACATTAGTATGATACAACATTACCTGCACATGATTTCATTTTGCTTTATGTAAAACAAAATAAATTTGAAATTTACTTTGTTTACACTTTGTAGAGAAGGAAGTTGCGCTCAGTGTCTTACTCAGAGGTTTTCATGTTGTTTCCTTCAATAGTTTTCCGTGCAGCGCCTCCACAGGTGAGGAGGGGAACAGGTTTTTCAATTAGTTTGGTTCTTTTGACACAATGAGGTGAGAAATCGAACTGCAGCAGCTGAAGCGAACCCTACTGTATAGTAAAGTATATTTCCTAGTTATTCAGTGCCCTGTAGTTTGTTTTTCATCTGTTGAATGTCCTGCCTGTGTTTGTGGCATGGCTGAGCTTTGCTTGTTTTCACAGATCCCGACCACGGTGCGCTCCATCCACCAGGACAAGATCCTGTCGCTCCGACAGCAGACTCAGTTCCTCTGGGAGGCGTACTTCTCCTCTGTGGAGAAGATAGTGCTGACCACGCTGGAGGTGAGGAGTCGAGGCACGCATCCAAGCATATGCTGCGCACACAGAGCCACCTGCTCCTTTGGCCTTCTGTGTCCTCCTGTTCTCTGCTGCTTCCTTTCTCATCAGTCGTTCTCTCAGAGGGCTTTGGAGTCACTGCAGACTCTAATATAAAGCTGGAGTACAAACAGAAGGCCAGGCAGAGGTTTAAACACAGGAGAATGGAAATACTGAACACTTGGATGAAAAACCTCTTAGTAAAATGATCTGGTCTTCATTTAATTTTTACTCCTTTTGTATATTCATTCAAGATGTACATTTAAAAAAAGATTTTCAAGGAAATCTCAGAGCTTTCTTGTTAACTTGACGGATTTAATCCAGTGACCTTAAAATCTTATAGTGCTCAGAATAATGTTTTATAACTCTATCAAGGAGGTAGATTTGGAGGATGGAGGTTCTCTACGGTGATGTATTAGGGTCGTTTTAGATGGGGAAAAAAGGAGTAAATGTACGCTAAAAACTCAGACATTTTGAGAATAATCTCAGAAAATGTCTAGAAAAAAAACAAGAAAACTTGCAAGGTTCAAAAGTCGAAAATTTGGGAGAAAATAACTGACATTTTGAGATAAATTTCCAAAAGTCATTTTTTTTTATTTTATTTTTTTTGAAACTCAGGAATTTCCCAGGTTTTTTTTTTTTTGTTTGTTTTGTTTTTTTTTTTGTGGGGGTATTATTTATTTATTCATTTATTTAACCTATTCTCAACTTTTCAAGCTTAAAATGTTCCTTGTGTTTTCTAGAAGGTTTCTGAATCTAAAAAGTTTGCTAGCAAATTTTTGACTTTTCAAACTTTTTTTGACCGACGTTTTCTCAGGATTGATTTGTATCTGCAACGGCCCGGATACTTCCTCGTAATTTTTAGATTACCAGTTTCTTATAATCATCAGAGGATCCCAGCAGCGATTGTTAGTTTTCAGGAAGGTTTCAGAAAGATTCTTACTCTTTTTTTTTTCTCTGCGGTTAATAGAAATGCCTCCCCAGTAATGTCAGAAAATACAGGATAATTCTCAGTTTTAAAAAGAAACTCTCAATGATAAAGTTTTATGTCGTAAGAACAAAATGTTCCAAGCCTGCTGAGCTCATCTGGACATTGTTGAAAAACCTAAATGAAATCTATCCATCTGGTGCTTTGGCGTTTCTATTAAGGACAGTTTTGTTTACAGAGGCTTCATAACTAATTTTATTTGCTGTTTTTGTTTATTTATTTTGGATATTTAAAATGTCTTCCAGTTCCAGTTTTAAATGTTCATTAGAATTTAAAGTTTAGTAATGTTTGAGAACGTGTTCTTGCTTTGTTATGCCATCAGCACTTGAAAACAATATTATCGTTTATCGCAATAACTTCTGGGACAATTTATCGTCCGGCAAAATTTGTTTTTTTTAGGACAGTAAATTCATGTTGTTGTAAATATATAAACCATAGTTTTGTGTTTCATGTTTGGATTGGAATATTTTTAGCATTTTAAGCAAACATTAGTCCATTTTACTTTTACGTTATCTTTTCATCCGTCTAATTTAACTTAAAAGCTTCAAATGAATCTGTTTGACTGACAATATACTACAGAAATATGCTTCTTTTGTTATTATGTGGGCTTATTCATCAAATAGTATTTAAATTCCCCCATTTTTAAGCAGGTGACTCATTCTGTCTAACTTACAGTCATAGAGAAAAATCTTGATTCGCCTCTTCTTTTCTCTATTTTTGTGGTTCAGTATCCTCTGTTGAATTTACCCCCCAGTTATTTGGGGATACAGATCCAAACGGCCCATTTCCACCCACTCCCAGAGCACACAACCCAAGCTGCAGCCTCAAAGTCAAACTTTTGATCTGCCTCTACATCTCGGGTATGTTTGCTATCAAGCCTCGCCTCCCTGCGACCGATCACACACACCGAGTCAGAGGAACATCTCCATATGTCAAGGTGGCCAGACACACATGGCAGCACCGGGGCACGACCCTGCCGACACTCCGTCACTCTGCTGCGAAGTGCAAGGTGACACTGCGACAGCTTCTGACTCACTGTGTGTGTTTGGCAGGGAGTGTTGTTTGCTTTAACTACGCTGCCGGCTGAAAGCTTAATTCTCACTAATTGTTCTGCAGAAAGAGAGAGAGGGAGAGAGTGGAAGAAGAAAGGAAAATAGGATCACAGATGACATTATGCAAGATTAGAAATGCATAAAAAAATACACAAGTACACAAATAAATTCCTTTTTTGAATAAGAAAAGGATCACAGCATTATATCTGTTTTTTTATGCGAAATGCGTAGTTGTCGGGTTTAAACTTTGAATAGATAATTCTGACACATGAATGTACTGATCCAAATCACTTTTGTTTCATATATGGGAGGCCTATCATGCTAATTTTATATTTTTGTACTTCCATCTGGGTTTCTGCTGCTGCTAAAAACAGCAGTAGAAAAACACACCCAACTGTTTTTGGTACAAAGTTTATATTTTTTGGTGTCTGAAAATGAGCTGCTATAAAAACCTACAGAATGTAACGTCACAGATCAGCAGGAACTGCCTGTTACCTAGCAACAGTTCCAGCATGTTTGGTCAGGTCGTTTTGCTGCTGTATGCGCTGTACAATGGCTACTGGAAAAGACAGATGTTTCATTGTTGACTTACCATCCAGAAACCACTTGCTGCATTCTTGTTGGTTGTGCAGGAGGCTCTACTAATGCTTTTCAAAGATGTACGGTAGTATAATTGTGTATCTTTTTGCAGCCATTCTCATGTGTGAGCGTAAACGTTGAGTTGGTGGGTGTGGCCAGCAGCAGCATATTTGGATTTAAAGTTACAAGACGCCCTAAAATTTATGATTTTGTGCTAAACATGGTAATAAAGAAGTTTTGTATAGACCAATCCTAACCTGTGTAGGGAAACATCATAGGTCACCTTTAAAGCAACTTCAGCATTCATGGATTTTCTTGGAATTTATTTGGTGCTTTTGAGTCCTGATTTAATTGCACAACAGGATAGACATTACAGTTTTTCATAGTTTGACTGAAGAGCAACACAGCCAGCCAATCATGCAGTGTTTCCTGTCAGGAAGTGGCAACATTTCAACCAATCACAAGGTCAGTATCGCTGGACCTCGGCTGCTGGTGCACCCATTAAACTCACCAATTAAAGTCGAGTCCGCAGAAGCAGGATTTATCTATCATGCTCTAATTGGTTGATTGTGGCTGGTCTGAGGTGAGATTGAGTCGTCCATCATGTCCGACTGAGGGCCGCCGTCGGGGGAGGAGCCGCAGCCAAGCGAGCCGAATTGCCCGTCATAAGGTGTAAAAGGCTGCGGGGTTTGAAGGTGGCAGGACATTTTTTTTTATAGAGAAGTCGACGGATTTCTGAGGTAATCTGTTTTTCCGAGGCGAACCGTTATCGACTGCCCTCGGGGACGGAGCTCGGGAAAAGTAAAAGAAACTTCCAGTGCGCTGCTTGTTCTCCGTTTCCTCACATCACTTCCCCTCTGTGATGAATTTTTGTTTTGCTTTGTCCGTGTTATTGCAGCAGCCCGCCCTTCAGCTGTGTTATTAGCTTTTAGCAGTGAGAACAGCAATCACAACGCTCACTCTCTGCCTCCTTTCTGAGCTATATATCCGCCTTTTTGAGTTTCCACGCCAACAGCCAGGCAGCTCCTGATTCAATAGCAGCTATAAAACATGGCTGCAAACCTGTGTCTGTTTTACTGAAGCAATTTAGCGTGGCTCAAGGGCGCCGCGGCAATATGTCTGCACGTTCGCCCGCCTGTTCAGCAGGAGCCGGGGAAAACGGTGGCCATTTTCACGTCTGACCGTTTGACTGACTGCTCTATTTGGGCCCAGAAAGGATCGAGGCAGGCCTGACAGACTGACGCTTAGATACAGCTGATGACTCCGTCTGCATTGTCCGGCTATCGCGGCCCAGACGGACCGGCGCAGATCCCGCTGATCTAACCTCAGTTTGGCTCGTCTGTGAAATATTACACAAGAACGCACATTTATTTCAGCTTTGCTTTGGGCTGCAGATCTTCAGTAGCTGCTTTTAAGGCGGCATGAGGCAAACGGTTCAGGAGCTTAGCTATGCTTTCATCATACTTTTATGCTGCTTTTGAAATGTTTATTCAAGGTGGTGGAAGGTGTGGCAGAGGGTTTTTTGCATTTTAAGCAATTCTTTGCAACAAAGGTGCGGATTAGCATTTACAAATACCAAAATCTGAGGTCAGATATGTGATAATTTCATTTATTGCACAAAGAACGGGCAGACAGTGGCTTTCAGGGTATTTACTAGGAATGCACTGATCGCCTTTTTTCACTTCTGATGCCAATATATGAGGTTTAGCATGTCTGACACAGAAAAACTGAGCTGAATTGACTTAAAATGTTTCTTTTTTAAACATCTTGAGGACACAACGAATAAACATTTACATCACAAACAACATTTATACAACAAAAGCAACGCCACAAAGCTAACCATCTGTAGATAAACGGCAGGATTTCTCCTTTAAGTCGTCAGCTGACTTTGAAAACACCTGAGTAACATTCTGCTGTGAAAGCAGGAAGCTGTAGCTGCTTCACCTCCTTGTTGTGTGAAAACTCATCTCTGTGTGAAACGCCTTATTGGAGTGATTACAAGGCTCATTGATGGTCCTTTATGATTTCATACAGCGTAATCTGAGAGGCTAACAATCAATCTTTTCATTCACTCGTGTAATTTTGATTTTTATGTGCTCTCGGGGACGGCTGTAAAATGTGTGAAGGGGCAGTTTTGTGTTGTTTTTCTAACCGAGTGAATCAGAAAACCTTACAAATTAAAAATACATTTCCAAGATTCAAAGAAGCCAAGCTATGAAAATTAAGATGAAATGGAACGTTTTCTTAGGAAATGGCAGGAGATTTCCTCTTGAAATCATGCTGATGTTAAAGCTTTTATGTTCCGTGGTTGTGATTACACCAAAGAAAAGACCATCAAAGGTCTGTGCTGAAAGTAAATATCAAGCAGTCATTTTATTCCTAGAATCTTAGTTGTTGTTTTTTTTTTCTGTTTGCAGATCATCCAGGACCGAGTGCTGGAGCACGGCTCCAGGAGCAGCCTGATGTGGAACAGCCACCCTGGAGGCCTGTTTGCCTTGCCGCAGTACTCCGGATACCTGGGAGACTTCCCCTTTTACTACGCCACACTGGGTCAGTAACGCACAAAACCCAGAGCAGCATTAATACAGCGGAGGAATCATACAAAATTCAGATTTTATGCTTCCATCTGCTGCTTCTAAAGAAGTTATTAATAATTTTGGGAATAAGTTGATGTCTAGTTGGTTTCTGGGAAATGAGCTGTTTCAAAAGCCTCACAGTTGTTAAGTCACCTTTGACGGGCAATGTGCCGTTACCTAGCAACCCAAGCAGAACTCCAGCAAATTTGGTCAGCTGGTTTTACTGCTGTATGCACTATACAATGGCTGCTGGAAAAGACAAGTGTTTTGTTCTTGACTTACCACCCAGAAACCACTTGCTGCATTGTTGTTGGTTGTGCAGGAGGCTCCACTTCTGCTTTTTAAAGAGGTCAGGTAAAGATACCAACACCTGTAGTTGCCAAAAAATTTGGCAACTACAGGTGTTGGTATTTTACAGTGAATTAGAGACTTTTTTTTTACATAATACACAGTTTCTGAGACTTTAAGGGGCATGAATGTTTCTCATGGTGGGCTTTTTCTTTTTTTAATGTCAGAAAGTGGCTTTTTCCATATAAGCATCTTGAAATGCTGGAAAACAGAAATTTCTCACTCGGGTCCCATATTTTCTCAAACTGAAATCAGGAGCCAACATTTCCTGTGAATTTCCTTCCCTTTCTCTTTATTAGTTTTCATCCAAGAAGACGGTTTCCGTATCATTTCTGTTCAAATCCAGCTGTGGCTCCTGAACTTTATCTGATTGGCAACAAGAGATGGAATAAAGTTGCTGCTGCTGCGGCTGCGTCAGGCTTGTAGTTGGGTGGACGAACGGGTCCGTGACGGATGCCTGTATTAGTTCTGCTGACACTCCAACCCGTCCATCACTGGGTTTAAAGTCAGCAGTGCTGCGGCGAGGCCAGATTCCTGCCGCTACGGTTCAGCAGAGCCGATATTTCCCCCCACCGCCACATTTCTGCAACCCTCTCCATCCCTGACTTCCTCACTCCATCATCATCCACTGCTGCAACACACACACACACACACTGCAGAATGAACTCAGCCAGGTTTTACTCCGGATATGGAAATGGATGGATGCGGTGACAGGCACAGATTACAACGGCTGCAGCTGAATTTGTTTGTCAAGGAGGAAGCAATTAAACATGGATGGGCTTTTAGGAGACAAAGTGGCTTGTCACTGATGGGTAAATGTGTGAAACCAAAGCCAGATCATTTGTTTCTAGCTGGCTTTTCTTCTTCCTCTCTTGGAGCCAGAGCTGCTGACTCTGTTGTCATTCACAACAACACTCAAACTGTAGCTGCGTTCCCATTACAAACAAATCTTTGTCAACATTCTGCTAATGTTTGAAAAAACACAATTTTGCAACTGCAGTGTTTCCATTAAATAAGAAATGAAATTAAAATCACATGTGAAAAAGCTTGTTCACATGATAAGTCATTAAAAATCCTGGCAGCAGCCGATGTAAACATGAGATGCATTCAGGCGTCAGAGGAGACGGCGGCGTCTCATTCAGGCGTTGGAGCGACAAACCTCTTCCCCCTGCATCGCTTCGGGGAAAATGTAGTCTGCGATTTTACAGAAGGATTTTGGACTCAACATGTTCAAATGACACAACTTTTTATGAATAAAACAAACAGACGCTCCTTCATTGTGAGGCTTCACCAGCTTGAACAAGTCAGAGATCGCTGCCCTAATCCTGTCCTCCATGTTATGATGCTGCATTGAAACTTGATGCCAGAAGTACAAAGGCCCTAAAGCAGCCTGGAGTGTTTCTGCAAACTTCCAGGAAGTGAGAAGCGTAATGTGCTCATGAGGCTGATAAAAGCCACCGAGTATCATGTGCCACAGGCAGAAAACGGCACGAGAATCCAAAGTTTAGCAACCCAGACAATGAACTCTGCAGGTTCTGTTTGGGGTTTCAACACCTGGCAGCTCTAGACTCATACTTGCAGATTTCAGAAAGTCTGCAGAGGAATCACAAAGATTACAAAGTTTGAAAACCGCATATGTTAATCTTCTCAGAAATTGCTCAGTGGCAGAGAGACGAGTCGTCTGACGATATCTCCTCCCCGCCATGCTTTGCTGGTTTGGGTTAGATTAGATTTAAATTAGGAGACGCTGGATGCCCTTTATGATCTCTGCCTCCGCGTCTTTTCCTCCCGTGTTTTCAGCTTCGATTACTCTGCTCCAGCAGGAAGTCGGGTTGAATCTAAAGTCACACCAGCGGTCGGTTGTCTCTGTATCGAGCTGCGAGATGAAATATTTAGTGATCAGGAGATTCAGAGATTTTCCAAACACATTAACATTGTTGAATATTTTAAAGTTGTTTTGAAAAATGTTCATCCCTGCCGGTTAAACTGTTTGTATTTGTTCCCGCTGACAGCCTCGTCTCCACTGAAAATAGACTGAAAGATTTTGAGAACGAGCCTCTAGTTCTTGTTGACAGTCGGAATTATTGACTTTAAAAAAGCTATTTCTGAAAAGTTACTTGTAAGTTGCTGTACTTAAACAAATGACGATAAAGACTGATTCTGGTAAGCTGGAACAAACTTTCAGAAAACTGCAAAACAGCTGAAATACTGAGTGCCTTTAAATATAGCTTGAAAACCCACCAGTTTGGAGTCACTTTTGAATCATAATCAGTGAAACATTAACCAACAATCTGAAGTGTAACTATGGCACGTGACAAAATGTAATGTTTCAGTTGTTAACTGTTCTATGCCTTTGTATTTTTATGATGTAAAACACTTTTAAATCCCTTGTTGCTGAAAGGCACTATACAAATAAAATGCGATCTGATTTTGATTTTCACTTGCTGCATTGTTTTTGGTTGTGCAGGAGGCTCCACTTCTGCTTTTCAAAGATGCACAGTAGTATAACTGCCCGTCTGTTTGCAGCTGTTTTCACGTGTAAACGTTGAGTTGGGTTTGTGGCCAGCATCAGCTTATTTGGCCCTAAAATGTCGGATTTTGTGTAAAAAATGCTTTGAACATGTTTTGTATAATCCTTAGATCCAAACCTGTTCAAGGAAGCGCAACAGGTCACCTTCAAGGTGTCAGTCAGAAGCATTAAAGACTGCGTGTTTCTGTTTGTGTTTCAGGTATTAAACCGTACCCCAAGTTCACTGCAGTCATCCACGCCGTCTCCCCTCTGGTGTCCCAGTCCCAACCCATTCTCAAGCTACTGGTAGCTGTGGCCAAATCCCAGTACTGCGCTCAGGTAAATATTTGCCTTTATCCTCGAACTCTCGCGCCGCATTATGCGGCTCACGGCGGCCCGCTCCACGATTGCATTTTCCAAGCGGAGCAGAACAGCAGAGCTCATCCCGGGTCTGTGTGTGCTGTGAATTAACTCTGGAGGATTGAATTAGAGCAGCAGTTTGCAGCCGGGGTACATCTGTCTCCATGGCAGCCGAGCCCCCTTCAGCACAGCTGGAGATGGCGTGTATTGATTCCCCAGCTTGCTCCTTACCAAAGCGGGAAATGAAATGGAATTTGCTCCTGGATGGCCGGGTTTTTTTCTGTTTTTTTGTGGGAGTTGAGTGTGTGTGTTTTGGTTTGTTTGTGCAGGAAACAGAGTGAATGAGAAAGTAAATCCAATTCAGTATTTATAGTTTGTAACAGTAGTGAAATATTCAGGGTTCCTACGGTTTTCAGGTCAAAACTCCACATTTTCAGGGTTTTCTTTCCCTTTTAGGCCGAAACACAAAACTTCACTGTAAATGTATTGGAGATGCTCAGAAAATGTTCTGACCTGCAATATTAAACTGGAGGATGGATGTATGGATGAATGAATGTACTAAGAGACAAACTGGCTGGTGGAAAAACTGGTAGCTGAACAGACAAATTGAGAAATGGATGGATGGATAAATAATGAATGGATGATTGGACAAAAGGGTGGATGGATGAACAAATGAAAGAATGGACAGATAATTGAACAGATCCCTCATACAGGCTCCCTCTGGTCTAATGAAGGTAGATCCAGGATTATATCCAGGAGGGCAAATAATCTGTGTCTCTTAGGGTTCGTTCACACCAGCCATGTTTGGTCTACTTTAATCAAATTCTGGTTCGTTTGTGTAGAAGGTCCGGTTTGTTTGGGGCGGCGTGAATACACAATCAAACTCTGATGTGGACCAAAAAGTGAACTCTGAAGTGCTCTGAATGCATATATGAACACGAAGCGGACCAGAAACCGCTCCAACAGAAGGAAGTGAACTGTACCACAGAGCATTCTGGGTAAATACAGTCAGAACAAACGCACAGGTCTAGTGCTAACAGGAGAAATGCCTCATGGTCTTTTACCAAAGACAAAAGAGAAATCCAACAAGCGCTAAAATCTGACGCTACTCCATTTTGTTTTTCATTCCGTGAAGAAGGAAGCGGCGCTCATGTCTTCTTCAGAGGTTTTTCTGTCGTTTGCATCAGTAGTTCTTGGTGCAGCGCCACCACAGGCGACCAGGGGAACTGGATTTTTTGAAGGGTTTGATTCGTTGGACTTATTGCAGTGAAAGCGAACCGATCAACGATCTCATAAAATTAACAAAATCGGGGTTGATTTATCGGTGTGTCCCTGTTTTTTTGTTGCAGATGCTACAATGCAACAGTTGTATTAATTATCAGAATAACTGATTAATCGATAACTAGTTGCAGCCATATAGCAGTCTCTCCCCAGCTTTCTGCTTTGATGGAGCTGCTTTCCTGATTGCCTTCTCCAGGCTGTGCCTGCAGAGTGGAGAGCCGGGTGCACAGCGAAGGGGGGCATTTCTTCCTCTTATCGCACAAAAAGCAAGAGGGGAGCTGCTGTGCTACGAGTGAGGATGAATGAATGAACGGTGAACACCGGAGGGTAAAACTGGACGACAGAAACGTCGTGAGGAGCGCTCTGACTCGGCAGACCTCCTGCTGCGTGTTTTGCAGTTTCCTCCTGCCGTCGTTTATCCGGCGCACTCAGACAATACTTCGCTGTCGACACCCACAGAGGGCGGCGAGCCGACAGAGACTCCATCTGTCTTCCTAATCAAACCGCAGTAGAAGTGTGTGAGCGCATTAACACCCGTCTGTGTGCAGCATACCTGTTGTTATCTCTCTGTGACAGCAGTATTTACCCCCCCATTAGCTTCCTGAAGGATTTATTTTTTTGTTATCTCCATTCACTGAGAATAGGGAGACGATTTAGCGATTTATCAAACAGCTGTACATCATCTTCTTCCTCTGCCAGTGACATATTTTGCACGCTAACTCACAGCTGCTGCAGCCTTATGGGAATACCTCAGCACACATCCAAATATCTCCCAGCACATTGCTCTGCAGGTCCAGTCAGGGATCAGAGTCCCCCCGGGGCGAGCCGCGCTGTGTGTGACGTCGCTGCTGCCTGAGTAACACGAAGCTTTATTGATCGCTGCAGGGAGATTCCTGTGGTTCACCTCCGTTGGGACTGGGGACGCCTCTGAGCGGAACCAGCCTGGCTGGAGGACCTTTCAGCAGGGCGGACGCAGACTGAATGGGAGGCTGCTGCCGTGTCCCAGAGTTTGATTCACCTCAAACCAGGAGATAAACGGGTTAAACAGGAATGCTGAAGTCAGAGAAACTCCCCCAACACACTATAATTACGGCTATTTTACTCAGACAGCCATTATTCAGACGATTAATCAGTTGTTCTGACAATTAATCGATTATTCTGATGATTTATCAATTAATATGATTTTTAGAAATTGGCACTTTCTGCATATTTTTCATCTAATCACAAATACAAATAAGCAAATAACACAATTCCTTTTTTAAATTAACCAAAATAAACACTTTTTCCCTAAAATTCAACAACATAGCAGCTAAAACAATACTTCCAACACCAACGTGTAAAACATCTGTTAATTATGTTGTTTTTTATTAATTGCATAAAGAGATTTTTTTACTGAATTTAAACCAGGAGTAACTAAAACTACGACATGTGAGGATTTCTGGGTAGAGCATTTTTACAGACAGAAGATTTTTTGTCCATCTTAAATGCAAAATGCAAATATTTTTGTATATTTTGGTGTTTTGTACATTCTGCAAATGGCATTTGTTTGTCTGTATGCTCCAATTAACGATTAATCGATTACTGAATTAGTCAGCGATTATTTAAATAAGTGATTAATCATGATTAATACGATGAATTGTTCCAGCCACAACCATAATTATAAACATTATTGTTGCAGAGAATGTTTTCTTCACACATCCATCCACCCACCCATCCATCCATCCATCCATCCATCCATCCATCCACCCATCCATCCACCCATCCATCCATCATCCATCCATCCATCCATCCATCCACCCATCCATCCACCCATCCATCCATCATCCATCCATCCACCCATCCATCCATCCATCCATCCATCCATCCATCCACCCATCCATCCACCCATCCATCCATCATCCATCCATCCACCCATCCATCCATCATCCATCCACCCATCCATCCATCATCCATCCACCCATCCATCCATCCATCCATCCATCCATCCATGCAGTCTTTGTCTTAACTGATATGTGCAAAAAAAAAATGTAAAAACATGATTAATCTCTTAGGCTGGAATGTTTTCACAGCATTTTACATCTTAAGCAACTGAAACAGAATTAAGGAACAAATTAAGGCGGATTTAATTCTACATCAAACTAAATTTACAACTTTAAAAACATAATACTGCTGAAAAACTGTAAAGCAATAAAAAAACCTACATGAAATAGACACAAGCAATTACGGGAAAGAACCACAAAGTACCAGTTTGCCCAGGGGAAACTAAACTCAGTAATGCAGGACATACAGTTGATACCAAAAGTCCTTCTGACGACTAAAGAGCAAAATAATTTATAAAACGATGAACACGAAACCCTGAGAAGAAGGAACAAAACCAGGAACACAGAAGCAAAGACATTATTTAGCTTTTATTTAGTAAAAACTCAGAGCAGACAAACGTTTTGCAGCCAAAGAAATGAGAAGAGTTTTTTTGTTTTCTGTTTAAGCCGTCTGGGTCGGCCTGACCTCAAGGACAGACATATTTGAACAGCAAGAACAGCACGACTCTGCTGACTGACTTTAACAGCACTTTGTCACGGTCTGCATCTCCATATCATTTCTCACCAGCCTTCTGTGTGACTGTGTGTGTGTGTGTGTGTGTGTGTGTGTGTGTGTGTGTTTCTGATTAAATATTAATGAATCCTGCTGTGGTAATTCAGTGAATCGGTTGACCTGCAGGTTGCTGCGTCGTTGTCTGACTCATCTAAAACATGACATGACCGCAGCTGGGGGCGTGACCTTTGCCCCCGACTGGAAAACGTCCTCGGACGCCGTGATTGGATCGTTTCCTGTCTGTAATGTTGACGCTGCTCCTGCTGCGCGGTCATAATTAGAAAATATTTTATCGTTTCGTTTGCCCTTTGCGGCTCTTTAACATTGAATCAACTCGTAACAAGGTGACATTTTCTGGCTGCGAGCCTCATAAATGTCACGTGTTTCGTGGTTTAAATCTGTAGGTTTGGTCCTCTGAGGGTAAAACAGGAATAAATTATTAAACATGCTCAGAAAGGAAATCAGCGTTTCTGACTTTAGTTTTATTTCATTGTTTGTCTAATTCAGCTGGTCTTAATTAGTTTTTAGAGTGCCTTTGCTACTTTTTATTCCCTAAATATTTTCCACTTTTGTTATTTTGTATTAGTTTTTTTATATATTGTTTTGATTTTGCTACTTTTTATTAATTATTATTAGATATGGTATCATTTTGCTAGTTTTATTAGTTAAGTATTGTTTTGTTTTTGCTAGTTTTTAGTAGTTATAGTTGTAGTTTTAGTTTTTTCATACTTACACTGATTGGTTTATAAATACTCAACAGAAGGTGCAATTTAAAAAATAAATCAGTTATTGAATCTGGAGTTTCCTGTGGAGTTGGGAGAAACGCAGCGCCGTAATTTACCGATAGCCGACGTAAACTGCTTATGTAGAGAGAACAACATCTATTTCACATCGGCTTGAAAGGCAGATGAATAGATTCACACACATAAAAACAAAGGATAATGGATCTATAATTTAAGAGTGTTTTCGTTCTTTTGATAAGTGTGATTTAGTTCCAGTTGGCTACAGTTTTCCCCTTCTAGTTAACTAGAGCAACTTTACATGAGAAAAATGTATTTTCTGTCTTTTCCAGATTATCGTCCTGTGGAACTGCGACAAGCCGCTCCCGGCCAAACACCGCTGGCCCGCCACCTCCGTGCCCGTCATCGTGATCGAGGGAGAGAACAAGGTGAACACACACACACACACACACACACACACACCCTCTCTCAGATGCCTCTCAGGTGTGATTGCTATCATTTCTAATTACATATTCCCAGATGGTAAACCTACTGTATCTTTATTCACTCTGGGAGTTAATGAGTTTCGATTTGTGCCGCGCTGATCCCATTAAAAGACAGTTTTAGTTTTAATTCAACCTCAGTAATGAGAGTTTTACACTCTGGAGGAAAATCCCTCCTGTGTGTCGGACCCATGCTTCAGAACCACGAAGCATTTATTTGGTTTGGATTCACATTTTTTACCTCAATTATGATCTAAATTATAATCAGGAATCAACTTAATTTGATTGGCATTTGATTTTAAAATCCATAAAATAAAAGAAAGAATCGGCTGAAAACTAGTTGGCCAACAAAAATGATCTCCAGTATTTAATCAGTTTGACAAAATATTCTTGTTACTCGTCACTTTAACGTTATTTTTACTATTCAATAAGCTGATATTTAATATTCATTATTATTAAATGACATATTTAAATAATGTATATTATTTATTATGTTATTGATTATTTTTTTGTTATTCTGTGTTTACTGCTTTGAGCCAAAACTAGATAAAACCAAGTTTTACCTTCTACATAGGGGTAAGACTTTCTGGATATTTCCCGTTTAATTACTGTTCAAAACTTTGTGGAAGTTTTATTTCTTGTCATATTAGTAAGTTCATACTAATACGACAATATTAGTTTAAAAAATATTCAAAATGAAACTTTTTATTTCTAGATTTAAAAAATAGTTTAAATACATAAAATAAAGCAAAAATCTTTAAGTAAAATTAAAATAAAAAATGTTTTTCTTAGGTTTTTCTTTTCCTTTTTTGGTTTTGATCCTTAATCATCAGAAAAATATTCAGGTTTTTCTGTCAAATCGTTCTTGTTCTTGTTTAATGGACCTCTAATTTCTCTGGTTTTGTTATATTTATGCGTGGATTGTTTTAAAGTTTACCTTTACCAGGATTTTCTGCAGAGTTTGTGATTTAAGAAAACCTTAAACTCTGCAGAGCTTCATCAGTGAAACGCTCAGAGCGGCTGCAGTTCTTCTTCATTTTGCTTTTTAACTATAAAACATGTTTGCAGAGTGAGATTACCTGGAGAACATGTTTACCTTCCCCACTTTTTGTTTATAAATCCCTCATCTACTGAGGAATTGCTCAGTTTGTTGAATTATAGATGTCGATGCTTCAGACTCACCTGAGTGGAAGTGGTTTCCTCTCCGCTGTCAGTCAGCCGGCGGCGGCGGCCGGGTTTGTGGTTTTCCTCCCCTCCTCGTGACTCTGAGTGGTTTCTTCCAAGCTGTCAGTCATAACAGGAGGCCGAGCAGAACCAGCATTCTGTGTGTGTGTGTGTGTGTGTGTGTGTGTGTGTGTGTGTGTGTGTGTGTGTGTGTGCCAGGCGGCCTGTGGTTTGTTGTGATTGTGGTGTTTCTGTGTTTACTGCGGCAAGCCAAGCTGTGTTCTTCACCCCACAGAGGGAGACGCAGGCAGGGCTTTCTTTTCTCCATCCCTTCTTTATCCTGCAACTTCCTCATTTCACCGTCTTCCTTCATCGTTTTTCTCTAGAAAATAATTTATTAGCAGAACAAAGCGGTCGGTCTGGTCCAGATCAGACCGCCGTGCTTTTCTACCCAAAGTGACCGAATCGCTGCAGCCGTTTGACCGAACAGGAAGGTAGTGGGACGGGTTCAGGAAAAATAACGCCAAACTAGATTATGTCATCTTTCTGCTTTCTACTGGCCAGGAAACTCGAGGTTTGTAGATGGAAGAATCCACATCCTCCAGCACACGGACGCTGGTTAACTGAGGATATGTTACATTCATTTGGAGACGATTAGACACTGCAAAAATATAAAACCTTACCAATTACTTTTGGTCTAGTTTCTAGTGCAGATATCTCAATGTGCTTAAGGACAAAACTGACATAAAAGTGACGTTTTATCAACATATAGAGGCTGGTTTTAAGCCAATAATAATTCCTTAATATTAATGAAAAAATACTTGTTCCACTGGCAGATTATTTAATTTATCACTTTTTTTCCAGGTTACAAGTTAATTTGTCTCCCAATGGAACTAGTACATTGTCATCATTATTAATAATAATAATTATAATAATAATAATAATAATAATGGATTTTATTTGTCAGCACCTTTCAAACTCCCAAGGACACTTTACAACATTAAAAACACAAATTAAACAGCAGAATCTGCTACAAAACCACAAAGTAACTAACTAAATTAAAGAGATGAACAGATGAGTTTTAGTTGTGCTTTAAAAGTCAGAAGAGAGTCAATTAAGGAGTTATTCACTTAAAATAAGCCTCTTTATCTGGCTAAAATGTTACTTTAAGTTAGTTTGTCTGATTTAAAATGTTCTAAGAGGTTTGAACTAGAAATTAAACCCAAATCACTTGGTAAGATTTTGTGTTTTTACAGTGCAGTCAGAGGATCTGTTAAAAAAATGGCAGCCATTTACATCTTATCTTTGAAGGAATTTTAGCAGATGGATTTTTGTCATTTTTGCACAAACTTGAAACTGGCATTGGCTGCTTTACGAGTACAGAGCAGGGTACAGTGTTGGTGAGGTGGGAGGGATTTCTGTGGTTTCTTTTTTTGTTTTGTGATGTTTACATAAAAACCAATAAAAAGAGCTTGATTATTAAAAGCTACCAAAATTGCACAAAAATGTAAAAATTCGCACAGAAACGTAACAATTAAACCCTGCATAACCTTCTTAGACAGTTTGTCGGCTAAAAACTGAGTTTCACTTCAAATGTGACTTCCTGAAACTGTAATTGGCCAAATATACGATTCCCACTTGTTGCTAAGTGTCCAGTCGGCTGGTCCTCCCTGTCCGCCTGCAGCGATCCGGGTCGCTGCAGGCGGATTCCCGCTGAGAAGACTCCTGTTCCTGGAGAGCAGCACAAGCCCCAGGCTGATACGTCTCACTTCTAACGTTACAAACACCGGCCTCTCATCCTGCCTTTGTCTCTCTCCCTTGTTTGTCTCGCTGTCACTCTCCTGTCTCCTCGTCTCTTGTTTTCTTCTTCTCTGGCTGGAAAAACAAGAGGGAGAAGGGATTGTTTGGTTTCCTCTCTTTGTGGCCACAGGATGAAGTGAGACTGAGGGCGAAGAGCTTCTCACGTTTCCTCTAAACTCTGATTTTCCCTCTTCGCCTGTCTGTCGCTCAAGCTGGAAATACAAGCAACTCTTGAAGTGTTGAGCGTCTGGACGCTTCGTGAGAGCAAGCTGGAGTCAAACCAGTGTTTTCCACAGATGCATCAACTCAATATGAGCAAAGGAAATCTCTTTCCCTTCCTCATACAATGCAAAAACACAAAATCTTACCAAGTAGTTTTTGTCCAGATTCTAGTGCAGATATCTTAGGACACTTGAAATAAAGCAAAACCAAATCAAAAATAACTTTCAGCAAGAAATAGAAGCTTGTTTTAAGTCAATAGTTCTTTAATATTGATTTTAAAAAGTACTTGTCACATTGGCAGATTATTTACCGATAAGACATTTTCTCCATGTTTTAGTGAAATAATCCGCCAATGGAGCTGGTTGTTGCTGCGCGTTGCTGCAGCCGGCGTGTTGTTGCTGCGTGTTGCTGCAGCCGGCATGTTGTTGCTGCGCGTTGTTGCAGCCGGTGTGTTCTTGCTGCAGCCAGCGTGTTGCTGCATGTTGCTGCAGCCGGCGTGTTGTTGCTGCGCGTTGCTGCAGCCGGCGTGTCGTTGCTGCGCGTTGCTGCAGCCGGCGTGTCGTTGCTGCGCGTTGCTGCAGCCGGC